TATAAAAAAGCCACCAAAACCCACAAAGTGCAATAAAATTAAACATCCAAAAATAATAATATAATCAGAAAACATCTGAAACCAGTACAGAATAATAGAATAATCTATTTATATATGAAGGAAACAATTAAAAAAAACTACAACACCCCTAAACTAATACATATTAGTTACAGTCTTCCTCTTATAGATCAAATCACTCTTAGCAGACATATTAACTTAAAATTTTTATTCTTCTGAAAAAAATATTAATTTCAACTGTAAATTTGACCTAGTGAGTAGTTATAATCATAATATGCATTAAATTATGCTACTTATGCTATGGGTGGATGAAAAAAAAAATGCAGTTCGTTAATTTATAAAACCTTCAAATTTCACTTTAATTTTTATCCCTTCCTATTTCACTAAGTATTTATCATTTTAACATCTTTAATAGACATATTAAGATTACCTTCATATCGAAAGATATCTTAAAAAGTTTACGTGAAAGCACCCTAGAACAATGTACCTGAAAGTACTCTCAAAATGTACCCGAATGTACCCTCAAATTATACCTGAAGGTGCATATTTATCATTTTTCTTAATATGCACGGGTACATTGCATTCCCTATCAGTACCATCTGTGAGTAATTTTGTATGACTTAATATTTTATTTAATATTTCATATTAATTAAAATCCTTTAAAATATGCATTCACATGACAATTATTTTCTCTCATTTGTGATATCATTTCAGACTTTCAAAATGTCAGATATCATTGAAATACTTTTTTCTTAAAATTATTTATCAATTATTTATTTAATAAAATATTAATTTAATGCATAAAAGAAAATAATTACTCACCTTGCTTAGCTTGCTTGCCACACTAATTCCTTAATCCCCAACCTTCTAAGCTAAATGTTTTTCAACCTAAATTGCAGTTAAATATTAAATTATATTTTAATTTTTTTATTAAATTATATATTAATTTTTTTAATAAAACATATCTTATCTTTTAAATTTATTTGTCTTCTTCCTCAAATTTAAAGGATTTGTTGACTTTCTTCCTCACTTCTTAATAACAATAAAGTTTAATAAATTAATTTAACTAATTATATTATTAAGTCCAATAACAACATAACGCTTAACATTTATCTTATATGCTTTCAGATCAATCTCCTCCTATGCTTGCTTCACAAACTTCTCCTTCAAAGCCGAAATTCTTATATTAAAGCTCCGAGTCAATATGACATTGCATTAAACACACACATAGAGATAAATATGTATATATATATATATATATATATATATATATATATATAATATTTTAGTAATTAATTGATTAAATTTAAATTTACCTTATAATAATTGGTCGACTATCTTATCATAGCACGCTTGAAACACTCTTCCCACCGAATGTGAGCAACAGAAAGACGGTATTAACATTTAACAACTGTTCACAAAATTATAAAATCTTCAAATATATAAAAGGGTCACTAAAATCCACAAAATACAATAAAATTAAACATCTAGAAATAATAATATAATCATATAACAAAATCTCAAATCAGTACAAAACAATATATCAATATCTGAAGGAAATAATAAAAAGACACCACAACACACCAAAACTAATATATAACAACTGTATTCCTCCTGTAAATCAAATCTCTTACCTGACGTATTAACTTAAAGTTTTTTTTCTCCTCAAAGAAAATATTAATTTCAATTGTAAGCTTGATTTAATAAGTAGTTATAATCATAATATACATTAAATTATGATGTTTATGTTATGTATAAATGATTAAAAGAAAATATAGCTCATTACTTTATAAAATCTTGAACTTTTCCTTTAATTTTTATCCTTTTTCTTTTTACTTTTAGCATTTATTATTTTAACACCTTTAATAGACATAACAATATTACCTTTATATTCGAAGGTATCCTAAAAAATTTACCCGAAAACATCTTAGAAAAATGTACCCAAATGTATCCTTAAATTGTACCCGAAGGTACATCTTTACCATTTTCTTTAATGTGCACGTGTACATTGCATCCCCTGTAAGTACCATCTGAGAGTAATTTTGTATGACTTAATATTTCTCTTAATATTTCATATCAATTAAAATCCTTTAAAATGTACATTCATATGTCAATTGTTTCCTCTCATTTGTAATATTATTCCAGACTTTCAAAATGTCAGACATCAATGAGATACTTTTTTAAAAAAATTATTTGTCATTATTCATTTAATAAAATATTAATTTAATATATTAAAGAAAATAATTACTCATCTTGCTTAGCTTGCTTGCCACACTGGTTTCCTAATCTGAACTTACATGGTTCACAGCTTGTGCAACTCTCGACTCTGGCCCTTGCAGCTGCAACATATGTCGTCACAGCTCACCATTACGACATACGTGACCACTATGGTCTACATGGTTCACAACTCGTGCAGCTCCAGACTCAGGCCCCTGGGCCCCTGCGGCTTCCGCGATCTACGGACGTCGTCACAGCTCACCACTACAATCTAGGTGACCATACGGCTTAAGTGGTTCACATCTCGTACAACTCCCAATTCTGACTCCTGTGGCCTACGGACGCTATTGCATCTCACCACTACGATCCATGTGATCAACTGCGGCCTACGTTGCTCACAACTTATGTAGCTTCTTACTCCGGTTTCTGCGGCCAATCGATGTTACTAAAGCAACAGTCTATGATACACATGATCAACTACTATCATAACATTCAACTACTATTTATATGACAAGCTGACGCTACGATCATCATCTACAACATTCTCGGTAGACTATTGTCTTTATAGCAATCGATTATGACCTTTACAGCCTACTATCATTAAGAATTACATTTGTTACAACCATACTATGACTATTATCAATGAATCACTCTTGTACATTTACAATGATCATCTATGTAACTCCATGTTTCTTAATTCAGAAGAAGAGTGAACTCATGTATTCAAACTTACACAGTAGATCATTTCAACTGGACTTGGTCATATAGCTTTTCCCCTTTATAGTGTTTTCCATCTAAAAAATTCGAGGTGTCTTCCCGTACTTTTCTATTTAAGTACTTGAGTGTGTGTTGAGTTTCCATTCAACCATTACAGGAATTAAACAAATTTGTGTCAGCCAAATCGGATGCAAATCTAAGGCTGATCCGACAATAATTGAGGTTTATCATTCGATTTGCATATGATTTTATGTCTGATTTTTTCTTCGGGTAAATTGGAGGTCGGTTATGTTAATTCCATCAAATTTATATTGAAATATTCCAACACAACTAATTTGCGTCGTCTTTTGTGTCGTAATAGCGTCAGATTTATTTAATCCATGCATGCGTTGAATTTTGCGTTTGAAAACATCAGAAGATAAAGAGTATTATCAGATTATCATTGAATTTGCGGTGGATAATATGGATGAATGACGAAACATTATTATCATTTTAGCATTATATTTTTTGACGCAAAACGAATGAAAATCCGACGCAAACTTATACCACAAAAAAAGGAAAGACCAATTACATTTTCATAACATATATACTACATATAATCCACATTGCATACCTTAATATATCCCATCATACCACAAATCAAAACTCTGAAAAATATCATTAATGAAAAAGAAGATATTATCACAAATCATCCCAAATAAGAATAGTAAAGTTAATCAACAATTTTATAACAAATATTTAAAATAATGCTTAGAAATAAACGAAAAAAAATAAACTTGTCATTTTCTCCCTCCTCCTCTACGGATGTCATTTGTCGCTTGCTTCGACAATCTGCTAAAGTATCTGTCATGCGCGTCATAGTCCTCAACCTTATGCTTGCCTTCTAGCATCTACTTGTGCAATTGACGGATTTCTTCGTTCATTGCAGTCACCTGCTTGACAAGAGCATCATGGTTTGATTGTGAAGAGCTCGGGGAACTCAGTACGAGACCACGCGAGAGTTCAACCGTGAAAGCTATGCCCTTCGCTCCAATGCCATAAATCCTCCTCTTCTTCTTCACTACCGCTTGGGTCCAAAGCTCGTACTTGGACCGCGCAGTGGTAGACTGACTACCACTGCTACTGGCGAAAGTCTGGTCATGAATGACCAAGTGCCTCTCCCGGAGTTGTTTGAACTCATGCATAATAAAAGCCAGTGTTTAATTGACACTTTCAATGGTTAAATTCAAAATAAACTTTTAATTGAAGGTTTTTAACTTACAACAACTCGTCGGGAATGTTCCAAGACCCTCTGCACAGTCCTCGAATGTTGATGAGTTCGAACATGCTGCTCCGCAACAAAGGGGCCACGGTTCAACTCCTTTGCTTATATAGTGTACAAAATTGGTTAGTGTTACAAAATTACTATAAATATTAAATTAATTTTTCAATATTTAGAAAAATCTTACCAGCCTATAATAGTGCTTCGTATGGGAGACTGATCCTCCAATATAGAGCGTAGCTCCTCTGGCCCCCTCAGTCGCTCCGTTTGACTGGTTAGTCTGTCTTTTCCTCTCATAATTAAGAGAGACCCAGGTTACGGTCAACTGACCTCAGAGCCCCTCATCGATCTAGGCAGGCCGCTCGCCCCTCCGATGGGCTGTCATGAACATGTCTCCATGGCGATGTTTGCTTCGACTCTTGAAGATTTGACGGATCTAATGGTGGTGTTCTAGGAGCCAGGTGAAGGATCTTTGCAATGTAAAAAATAACCCATGTGTTAGTATGAAAAAATGAATCAAATTTATAATTCTGATTCAAATTACATGATCGTACCTCAAACTCCCTGAACCACGAGTTCCAAGTGCCTACAGGGATCTGCTTCCATGAGAGATAGGGTTGATCGTACCTGCTTCTGATAATCTCTGTGATACTGGTGACAGACATCTTATGGAGAATGATTCTTTTTAAGAAACACATTAGTTACAAAAAAACATATAACATTAAGAATAAACATCATACAATGTTAAAAATAACTTACGAGTCCCCCTCTGGCAGTATATGTACTCTTAGGGGGTATGAGTCGAGGGGACAGGCTCAAGAGGTGTCGGAACACGTGAGGCTTGAAGTGGTGGGACTGGAAGTGGTGAGACTGGAAGTGGTGGGGTAGTTGGTGTACTAGCTGCAGTAGCAAGTGTAGCAGGTTGACGAGTAGGTGCGGAAGCAGCAGACTTCACAGGATACAGGGCAGCAGCGGATGCAGGAGTAGGTGTTACAGGAGGGGTGGTAATAGCGGGTGCAGGAACATGTGTCACAGGAGTGCGTGAGCAAGTGACAGTGGGTGCGGGAACAGGTGCCTAAGAGGTGTAGCAGCAGTAGACGGGGTACTAGTAGTGGAAGAAGTGATAGTGACGACTCATTTTCCTGCTACAGGAGGTGGTCTCTAAGTGTCCTTAGAATACGGGGTCTTCGAGATGGCTGAACACCTGCACCACCTGTGGCCATTTGCAAACAAAGGAATGATATTAATAAGATTAATACTGGTAGGAAGAATAATCATAAATAGAAAGAAACAATGCAGTAAAGATAAGACACAAGTAACAACTATATCTGAAAACAGAAAAAACGAGAGTAAAGAACTATGCCTCAATGCAATAAAAATATATATTATTATTATTATTATTAAGTTTCATCAAAGGAATTCGTCGTCGAAGATGAACCTAAAATTTCTTATTGACTCTCATCCTCATCCTCACCCGTACCATGAGCAACCTCTTCAAAATTCCCCGTGGTATTCTCTAGCACAAACATTTCATCGTTTTTGTCGCTCTGAATGCGAAAATCTGACATACCTTTCTCTTGGTCAATTGGTTCTATAGTACTATGTAGCTCAATAGTTTTCTTTGGATCATTCTTCATAACCATAGCCCAAATCGACTTTAACTCTTACAATACTAGAGTATTGAAGGTAATAAACTTATATAGCTTGGTCTGACAAAAAAAATAGATCAAACTTCGCATATTGGGCCCGTTTGGGGCAGCTTATAAGTGCGGGGGCGTTTTTAAAAACGTCGCGGGATCATTTGGATCACGCGTTTTGCTTGCTTATCCTCGATAATGCGGTTTCATTTTTACACTAAACGCAGGCCGCATTTCTGGATAAGTTGCTTATCCTGAAACGCACAAGCTACCCCAAACACACCCATTGTTTGTTCAATTTAACATCAGTGATATCATAAGACGTGAGTGTTCGGGTTCCTCGATTTGTAAGAAGATCGAACCACTGACAGTTGAACAAGTATACAATATAGCTGACATTATCTAGATTTTGCAATTGAATGACTTCGTCAAGGATGTTGTAATAGCTAATCTCGCTATTTGTGTGTTTATTTCCATTAATAGCGACACCATAATTATATGTCTTCTTTCCGTCACACCAGGAACTCGTATGGAATCTATAACTATTTACGTCAAATATTTGTCTTATAGTAACATTGCGATTAGGCCCTAGGTAAAATCTAGATCTATTAATCTCTGATCTGTGATTTCATTAACTATATTGTGAACATATAACAAATTAAGCGGTATTATTTGTGTAATTTTAAATATGACGATTATATTCCACATGTGATTAGAAGAGTTCCTTCTTCGTACGTATAATTCGAACAATGTTGGAACTTCTTCTATTATTTTGCTTAACAAAGACTCATCTTCCATGTCCAAGCTATGAATAAATAATCTACTCACAGTATTATTTTGTATTTTCAAACTAGTTAGTATATAACTAATATTCTCAATAATAAATGACATTATATGTTGAGTTTAAGGACCACAATTTTTACTGTATAAAGGGCTGAACTTTGTCACAGTTCACCAGGAAGTACAATGCAGCTGTTCGAATCTCTTTATCGTTTAGATACTGTGTAGTGTGCCTCCCTGATAGCTCACCTGATATTTGATATAGAAATAATTTTGGCTGTGAAGGCATGTCACCTACAATATGACCTATTTGATGACCTTGCTCAACATAATGAGCAGAAAGTTATCGTCTCTTGCAATAGGTGTGCTTCGCAGATCGATCCCTTAGATAGTGCTTTATTCTTAATCGTTTATTTTATTTTATTTAAAAATCTGCAGCACAGAAATTTTATATTGAATATGGTGGTCTTTTAGTGTGAAATAAAATGCTACTTAAAATGCATGTATCAGGAAGACATACTTCTTGAAGGGATACATCCATTTGTACTACACCGGATCCCTCAGTATAGCCTTCTAACATAGATGTATAGGCAGATGTTTCATAGAGTCGAAGAAACTATGTGAAACTATCCGCTCAAGCTTACATAATAATAGGGAAATACTCACATTAAAATGCTTCGATGAGTCAACATTCAGTGTCCCTGCACACAATTCTCTGAAGAGTATACTGACTTTGATCAAGAGATTAAGCACTGGCTTTGGCGGCGCATGAAATGCAATAGATAATAACCACTGCAGCCTTTTCATGTCAAATTCCTTACTCGTTCCTAAGTCAAAACAACGGATCAAATTTGAAATATAATCACTAGGAAACTTCAGAGAATTCACCCACTCAAATATTATCCTCCATTGATCTGGTGTAAGGCAGTATACAACTTTGGGTTTTATTAATTTACCTCCATTTGTTCCCTGAAGTTCTAAGGTTCTCCTTTTGCAATGTCGTCTCAGTTCCATTCTAATTTTCAAATTATCTTTTGTCTTACCCTTGATATCCACACAGTATTGAAGATGTTATAAATAAACTTTTCAATGTGCATAACATCGAGATTATGTCTAATCAGATAGTCTTCCAGTACGGAATATCCCAAAATATACTGCGCTTAGTCCCGCTTAGTCCAGTTGTGCGTGACACCGAAATCAGGAAGACGAGTTGAAGCCGGCTCTAATCTCTAGGTGATCTTCGGAACTTCAATGATTGCCTGCAATATTTCAACTTCAGTAATTCTAAGGAGTGGACTTGATCTCTCAACCGAGTGATCTCTCAACCCAATTTTTGAAGAATACTTCTCGGTTCCTTTTAAATGGGTGATCGCGGTGAAGAAATCCTTGGTGGCAGCCGAAGTAGCTATTTTTCTTATCATGTTTCGGAGTACATGCCTTCTACATATCCATGTAGTAAGGATAAGCCAATTTTTCGGCTGTGCTCCAACTAGCTAGCATCCCATCGGTTGGAAAATCATTAATTATCCACGTAAGAGCCGCTCTTAGTTGAAAATTTTATTTCATAGCAGTGTCTTATGTAACATTTGAAGCTCTTCAATCAAAGGCTATAAGTAGACGTCGATTTTTCTCTTTGGGCTATATGGACCTGATATGATCAACGTCAGAAATAAAAACGATACGGTCATGCACATATAGGAGGCAAATTATGCGGCATAATGATCACTAGTCAGCATGAGCATGAGGTTGTGGCGCGACTATACGAGATGAAGTCATCTGCACATAACCCAAGTTTAATATACCGTGCTTTAACTACAAAGTTTGGGTAAGTACGATCACAATGTCTCCAGACCTCACCATGTGATGGATGACTCATCGAGTTAGCATCAACAAATTCAGTACTGTGTTAGATCATGTGAGAGGTTTTACGCATGGAAGCGTATAATCTCCGAAGCCTAGGTATGAGCGAAAAATAAAAGGGGCGCTTGTATGAAATATTTTTCTTATTTTTACTCTTTTGCTCTTTTTGTTTGAATCTATCTGCACCACAAAATCTATAAGTCATTTCCACTGCATCGACCTCGTAATATATCATTCAACATAATAATCAATCTTCTAACATTGTAACCGTAACTTCAAAATCAACTTTTTAGATTTGTAGAGGCCATCCGACTTTAAATTCTCTATAGAGTTTCTCTTTTAATAATGTTGCTACCTAATTGAATGTTTCTCTGGGCTTGTTAAAATTAGATTTGGTGGTCAACATTTTCAGACCCATTGATAACTTTGTATATGTTGTGCAACCATTCTATAAAGGTTGTTGTGCAACATTCAATAAGTCATAAAACTGTTGTGATTCGTTGTTCGGTGTTCCAAGTTCGTGTTGAACACTTTTAAGAAATTGAGCTCTTTGAACATCATAAATCATTTCTTCATTTGTGTCAGGATCAAATTTCTCTATAGGAGGGGCATAACTTGTCGATGCACCTCCTTGGTCAAACTGACTTCAGGCTCTTGCTTGACCATGTGCAGCCTAGTAGAAATAATTAAGTTTGAATCCCTTGTGGTAGAGATCCAACTTAAGTTCTTTGGGTGGCAAAAACACTTGATTTTTGTGTTTCGCAAAAGGACACTGAAACTTATTCTCCGAATGATAGATGGACAGCCGTGATGCCACCTGCACGAATTCCTCAATGCCATACAAGCACTCATTTGTGAGTTTTTTTTGTCCTGAATATAATCTGTTATAAATTTAAGCTCTCAAATTACAAATATTCATCTGCGACATAATTGTAGCTTCACAGATCAATGCAACTATTACGAAAGATAAAAATTAGTTAATACTTTTCAATACGTACAATGAATGATTATGTTTAGTGGTTCGTGGGAGCTAGTTCTAATAAAAGAAAACGACTCCAGGAACCTTTTTTAAGTTGCTCGTTTCATCCGATGAAGTCGACAATACTTGGTCTACCAAATATAAGTCACTTCTTTGAAGTGGTTTATTTTTAGTGATACATTTCTCCACTTCAACCAACCAATGTGAATTCTGCTAATAACATTCTAATCTAGATCACCATCATTGTGAATAAGACCAGATGGACTCCTCCGGTTTAACCAACCAACTTGAATTCTAATAGCATCCCCATCCATATCACCATCACTTTGAACAATGGTCCCGATCGATGCATGCATTCCTCCGCTTCAACTAATCAACTCTAATTCTACTAATAACAACATCCCTTTATCACCATCACTTTAACAATATACCCGATGTATTCCTTTACTCGAGCCAATCAATGAGAATTCTACTAATAAGATCCCCTTAATTTATATATATGCCTAACACCCAAACTTTTTTTTTATGAAAATTTTCATGTATAACACTCAATTCTTATATATATATATATATATATAACACCTAAACTTCAATTTTTACATGCATACCACATCCCTATAAATGCATTTCAAACATATCACTCATTTCTTATGTTTATACACACTGAACTCCTAAACTTCAATTTTTACATACATACCACTGAACTCTTATGTATATAGATATCTAACATCAAAACTTCAACTTTTACCTACATACCACATTATCTAAGCATTTCATACATATCACTCAATTCTTATGTATATACACACCTAACAACTAAGCTTCAATTTTTACATGCATATCACATATAAATGAAAATACTGGCGCGAATGGACTTATCTTTTTCAATACTTTCTGATAGGAGTGGAGCAGAAGGATGAGAAATGCAATAGTTTCAGTGGTCTATGTAAGCTCAATTTGATCGTTACCTTCCCAATTAGCTCTAATGGTGACTTTATTGAGAAGGTTCGTTCAGGGTAGGCAATAGTTTTGAGAGAAACCAAAGGGAGAGGGATAGGGGAGAGAGGAAGCTTGCGACGGCTTCAGACAGAAGAGGAGACTGGGAGAGGCGCGGAAAGAATAAATAAAATTTTGGTACTCGAGATGGGTTTATTAGGCCATTTGCGTCGAATTTTTGTCAATTTTGAGTCGGATTTAGTTTGAAGCTAACAAGTTAAGTTGTTACGTTGCTTTGTTAGATGCAAATTTGACGCTAATTCTGTCGCACTCTAGTTGAAGTTTTGCCGTTTTCAGAGTACTTCCGTCGAATTTTTGGAAGCAAATCAGACGCCAAATCCTCCACAAATATCAAAATTTATTATTCTTCGCCTAACAACCGTAAATCAGA